CAGGCCAGTGAAGCGGCGTCCTTCACAACTAGACTGAAGAACAAAAAAACAGCAACTTGTCTGTTCCCCTTCCCCGATTCCCCAACGCTGTTCCCCTCCCCCAACTCCCCAATAAAAACTTTTAAAAAAAAGAAATGTATCAATGAAAAATACTCATTTAATAACAAACATGAATTAAGCATTATGTAAATGGTCTCTTTGTTTCAACATTTGCCCCTTTATAATTCATTCTCTACACAGCAATCAGAGTTACTTCTTAAAAAACATAATTCAGACCATGTCATTACTGGGCATAAAACCTTCTAATGGCTTCCTATTACACTTAGAATAATATCCATACTTCTTGGCAGTCAAGGTCCTGCATGATCTGGCCTCTGTCTCCTTCTTTGACCACTTCTCTCCTTACTCATTCTGCTTTAGTCACAATGGCTGTCTTTCAGCTCTGCAACATGCTATCATATCTGTCTTCCAACTTTTGCATGGAGCTGTCTCCTCTACTTAGAATGCTGTTTCTCCATGGCTGGTCTCTGCTCAATGTTGCAGCCTCAGAAAAGGCTCACCTCACCACACTAAATTTGCCTTGTTCTCACTCACTGCCTTTACCTTATTTTATTTAGGAGGTTGGATAAGTTTTCATAGAGGTGGTGGCATTTAGCCTAGGTCTTATAGGATGCATAAGCGTTTAGGCAGCAAATGCGGGATCAGTACATTCTACGTGGAGAGCAGAGCTTATGCCAAAGCAAGAGGGTGTGAAAGGTATGTCTGGAAATAGTGAGCAAGAAAGTGTGGCTGGAGTATTAAGTATGTAGGGAAGAGTGAATGGCAAGGTGGCTAGAAAAGTAGATTGGGACCAAACTGTGAAAGGATATACTGTATGTCTGTAGGTTCAGGAATTTTGCTTCAGCCTAGTAATGGTGAGTCAGCAACACTTTTTCAGTAAGGAAGTAACATGGTCATATTTGAATATTAGGGCAATAAACTCTTGTGACAATGCAGGGGATGGCTTGGGGAGGAAAAAAATAGACACAGAGACTACAGCTTTTTATCCTAATATTCTGAAATTTGGGGCTTTCAGTTCATATCCTAAGTTCATTTAATGATTCCTAGTATATTCCCTTTCATCTTCCTGAACTAATTCTCTTAGCTTGTCTGTATGCCTTTTGTTGTTAGTTGCTTTTTTTCTAGGCATTTCTTAAGATTTGGTGATCTGTCACACACAGTATTTAGGTGTAGGAAGGATATGCCAATGCTTTCTGGTTGAATTTTAATGCCCTTCTCAATGATGCCTTGATTTTGCTCGACTTTTTTCTTTAATGAATTTGTTTCATGAATTGGTTCCTATGAGGCAACCATAGTCCTATGGATTGGATGGGCTTCGTTTTCTAGACTTTTAATTTACAGGGAGGAAATTCTATTTATGGTATTCAGGCATTTATTCTGTCAGGCACTGTGCATGGTCCTAATATTTAAAAATAAATGAAGACTGTGTCTGTCCTCAAGGAATTTACAATCTATTGGGAGAATTCAAATAATTTTTAAAAATGACTTAAGTGGTTATCAAAGCGCATAACTTTGGACAGAAGAAGGCACAACTAATTTTTGTGGCCTATTAAGAAGAATCCGAAATCTTCGTCCCTTTATATGAAAGTATAATTCCTAACTCTTTTTGCAGCATTCAAAAATATAAAATAACAAGTAGATACAAGTCTGTAATTGTCTCTGAGTTCTAGTTCAATTTAAGCCATGTCCTCTTAATCACTTTCTCATAATGCATTAGTTATTTTTTACTGCCTAAGAGTTTGTGGATGTTTCTTTTGCTTTGCAAATTCTCTGGTCTGTTGACCCATGGCTGTCCAAAATGGCTTGTCTGTAAACAGCATTTTTAATTGAAACATGTTAATCCCATACAGTGGCATCAAATTTAGTTGCTGCTTTGCTCTTAAGGAGGGTAAGTCTTTTAAGAAGAGCCTAGTAGCTCAGAATGAATTTCATGACCTGCATTTCTTAGTAGCTACTTCGCCTTTAGCATCTTTTCTGCTTGATGAGTTGATAAAAGCTTGTCCTAGTTTCTTGAACCTGTTTTGTAGCAATAATTCAGCCAGCCTGAATTTTTTCTTTCCTTATTGTTTTCTTGAGGTTTAAAACTATTTAGTACACTTACGTTTGCTTTTCTGTGGTTTCAATTCCAGGGAAGATTTCCTTCCAAATCTCTTCATAGGTTCTCGGCAAAGCCAGAGATGTCTATTAATTTTCTCTTTATGATTAGGAATTATAATCTGATAAATTGACATCTCAACATACCCTCTCTCGTGGGTGCCTCTCCTATTGTTTTCAGTTTTCTGTTTCCATTCCTTAGGCTGTAATACGTTAACATCTCATGCACTCTCTATGTTTTGATCAATTTCATATCTCCTGCTTATTTTCAGTTGTCTTTTGATTTACTAGATGCTTATTTGTTTAGGGAAAATGTTCAGAAATATGATAATTTAAGGACTTGAAAAGCTCATCTAAATTGAAGGCTGACTTTTTTTTTTCTTTCCTTAACATTCAACAGGGTCACAAAAATACACTTGGCTTTAACAACTCTTGTGTATTTCTACTCTTCTTAAGACTGATGTTTTGGATGTGTCACTGAAAAATATCTTCCACCACTGATGTGCTGCCAAAATCTATTATCATGTAATCTATGGCAGAAGAGAAATCTAAAAGTAGTGGCTGTTTCCTGGGAAAAACAAACACTATCTGGAAGGTCATCACTTCTACTTAAAGAATATTTTAAAGGTTTTCAAGCCACATGTTTGTTGTTTGTTTGTTTTCAGGTTATAATATGTGCCTATTATAGAAAAATTTTGAGAATATGGGGAAGTATAAAGAAGAAAAGTATAAACAGTTCGTAATTCCACCACCAGTAAAAGGCTACCTGTTATTTCTGTGCAACCCCCAATTTTCTTGAAGTCTTAGTCTAGCAACCACCTACCCTTTTCTAAGTCTTCTTCCTCAATAGACTTTTCAGGACATTAAGAGTGGAAGACTGACTTTAAATATAAGGGTCCTTAGGATTTTTATGGAAGGGATGGAGCTGTAGGAAAAACCTACAAATTGCTCCAGAGATGACATCTTGTTCTTATTTAGCTTTCTTTGAGTCATTAACAGTCGGGCGCCACTGGTGCTGAAACTTGTCATTATTATAACCGCAAATGGGTTAATGCCCAAACAAAGCTATATTCTTGGAGCTGGTTCCCAGCTCCACCACACAGACCTCAGCAGCAGCACCCTCCAAGTCTCAGGACAATGCTCCACAAATAAGAGGATGTCAAATGGTCAGCCTGGACTCAAAATTCTCTTCTTTTATCTGGGAGCTTCCAGTTGCTGGCAGGGCAGAGCAAAAGGAAAAATAAATAAATAAAAACCAAGTCAACAAACCCTAAAAAAAGAGGCTGTGTGGTTTAGTGGTCAGACCACTAGCTTGGAAGCTGGGATAGCTGAAATCCAGTTCCAGCTCTCAGACTGATTGGCTGGATGATTCTAGACAAGTCATTTTCCTGATAGGTTCCTCAGTTTTCCTACCTAGAAAAGGGAGAAGTGCCTTAGAAAGTTCTTATGAGGACAAGTGAAATGATCTGCAAATAGCTTCAGGTTGCTTGGAAATAAAATGAAATTGTAATCCTTAATGATTACTATCCTATTACTTTATATATATAGTAATAAGTAATATAGTAATAAGCCACAAGTGTGAAAATTATGAAACTCCCATACCTCAAACTGCATTGGTTAGGGGAATGGGGAGTGGGCGAGGGTAGGGGAAGAAGAAAATTATTTTTTATCAAATTTGTAGGACTTCACATCAAATATCAAATTAGTAAATTCATTACCTCAAGATAAGAAATGCTGTTCCTAATTTGGGTCTGTCCCTTTATTCTTACCACATCCAAACTCAGAGTGACTCACAGGAGCCTAGAAATGAGACACATATACAATTTCAAGGGAAAAGGAGAATTAGGAGTTTTGAAGCTCCTGCTGGAGGAGGCTAAGAATAGACCACTCAAAACACAAAGAGAAGAACCTCCTCTTCTCTTTTCCTCCCAATGTAGGTGGTCCACTGGTTTCCCAGTCATTCCTTTGATAGCAAGATTTTTGTTTTCTTTCTTTTCTCAAAACTTCACCTTGTTCTGGGGCATGGGGCCAGGGGACTAACTAAAAAAGTGAGAACAGAATAGCTTTTTTCTAATAGGTTTCAATTGTGGCAAGTGCTACAGACCACTAACCTGATGTTGGGAGTGGAGGGGAGCAAAAAGAACTATCTGAACTTCTGGGAACTTGAAAACCAATGAATGTTCTCCCCTCTTAAAGGAGAAATGAGCAATTTTGGCATATGAGGGGAAAAACCCAACAGGTGTCCTGGTGTGTGTACTCTACCCTCTCAAGAAGTGAAGTGTCTTAATAGGGAAAAAGGCAGACACCTTGGAAGGGTACCAAATATCCAGGGATAGGAATGGAAGGGGGAGCTAAAGATAAAGAGGAATTTGAGAGGGATTGTCAGTGAACTCTTAGAGGATTTAATGAGTACCTTCAGTGTGTCCAGCCTTGTTAGGGGCCTAAGAGACACATGCCTGGCTTCAAGGAGCAGCCAAGATATATGCATGTGAAATAATTTTGTAGCCACTGAAGACGATAAGTAATAAAGAGATAAAAATAGGTAATGGAATAAGTGTTTATGGGAATTTAGGGTTGGGAGCTATTGTGAGTTAGGATAACAGCTGTATAAAGCAGGAATAGTTATGAAATTCAGAAATTGAAGGTATGGAGAGCTGGCAATAATTCTTCGACACTGGGAAATACGATGGATTCGAAAGAACTCTCCACCTCAAATTCCTCTAAAACCAACCCCTCTATAATAGAAATCCTAAGAAGCCTCGACTGCAGCTAAGCGACCGCTTCCGGAACTTGCGTAGCCAGCTTGGCGTTGCGATACGGAGACTATTTGCGTGACACACCCTCCACCTCCAGCCTCTCTTCCCGCTGCGTGGGTGCCATGGCAACGGAGAGAGCGGGCGACCTGGGTTCCGGAAGCCGGAGAGCTAAAGCTTGGAAGCTACCCCGGTCAAAGGATGCTGAGTCCGGAGCGCCTAGCCCTACCGGACTACGATTATCTGGGTAGGAGCTTTCTTCGGCCCCGGGGAAGGAAAGAAGTGCAGAAGAATTAGGCCGGGGTCTGAGAGGAGGCGGGGGCGGGGTCTGGGTTGGAACGGGTCCAGGTGAGATGGGGAGGGGCGGGGATGGGGACGCGGTCCAGGGCCTGAACCTGTAAGGCCGAATGAGGTGGAAAACAGCATCTCGGGAGTCAAGAATATCTGAAGTGTACGAGTAGGAGCTCAGGCAATGTGGATTGTGTTCAAAGTGGGATAGGTTGGAGTTGAGAATTTGGGGTCCTTTTGGAATGTTATTGATATGCTCGTAGTGGAGTAACCTTGGAACCTGACGTGCCAAATCAGTCATCCTGTGAATAATCATTTTGTTATAGCGTCAACTGACATTTTTGAGTGTTTCTTTTTCATTAGGCACTGTACTAAGCATTTTACATGCATTCTTTATTGAATCGTCAAAGCAGCACTCGGAGGAAATATTGTGTTTCTCTTCCATTTTGCAGACGGAGAAACTGAGGCTGAAGAGGTAACTTGCATAAAGGAGGCCACATAGCTAGAAAATGGTACAGCTAGGATCGGAACCAAATGTGCCCATTCCAGAACCTGAGCTCTTTACCGCTAAGGCTGTAGCTCTGTTAAGCACCTCAAGTGTGTAAGGCATTTAATGGATGGAAAAAAAGGATGTATGCGCACACATTTAAAAAAAATCAGTAGCGCTTATTTTTTATTTTATTTTTTTGGTAAGATTTTTATTGGGGAATTGGGGGACTGGGAACAGTGCTGGGGAATTGGGGGAAGGGGAACAGACAAGTTGCTGTCCTTTTTGTTCTTCAGTCTAGTTCAGAGGACGTTGCTTCACTGGCCCAAGTTGGCACCATCATTGCGCTCTTCCCGGGTGAGGCAGATCAGTCGCCGGCTTTTGGACAGCCGCTCACTGTGGCTGCTGGCCGCTCACGCTGGCTGCTGGCTACACACGGTAGCCCATGGCAACCCACTGCCGCAGGGGCTGCAGCCTACGCCATCGCCGGCGACCCTCAGCAGCCCAGCTCCAGGTCGAGCTGTTGTTCAGCATCTTAGCTGTGGAGGGCAGTGTCACTGGCCCTCATATGTGGGATCCGAACCGAGCCCCTCTGGCGTCCCAAGCCAGTTCTTAACCATCTCGCCACTCGGCCAGCCCAGTAGTGCTTATTTTTTAGAGCTGTTTTAAGTTCACAGAAAATTGAGGAGATAGTTATACAACGTTCCCATATACTCTCTCCCCCACTCAGGGTTTCCCCTGTCATTAATGTCTGGCATTAGTGTAATACAGTTGTTACAATTGATGAACCAATATTGATACATTATTATTAACTAAAGTCCATAGTTTACATTAGGGTTCAGTCTGTGTTGTTGGTTCTATGGATTTTAACAAATGCATAGTGTCATGTATCTGCCGTTATAGTATCATGCAGAATAGTTTCACTGCCCTAAAAATCACCTGTGCCCCACCTACTCATCTTTACCCTGACCCCCAACCTTTGGCAAACACTAATCTTTGAACTGTCTTTAAAGTTTTGCTTTTCCAGAATGTCACAGAGTTGGAGTCAGACAGTATGTAACTCTTTATATACTGTGAAAGAAGTGGCTCCTTTCATTAAACAATGTACAATATATTTAAGGTCCCTCCGTGTTTTTTCCTAACTTGATTTCTTTTTGTCATGGAATAATATTCAATTGTATGGATGTACTGTGCACATTTTTTAATGAAAAACAATTCTAGTTAAAAATTTTGAATTGGTAATATGGGAACTGGATTAAAAAATATAAAGAAGTTTATAGTGAAAAGTCTCCTCTCACCCTTTGCCCCCATCTGTCTGCCAGTTCTCATCCATACTCAGCCCCCCCTCCCCCGCCAGTAACCACTCTTAACTGGTTTCCTGTGTATCCTTCCAGAGTTTATTTTATTATGTACATAAGGGACAATACAGTGAATACTTTTTTCATTTACTATATCTCAGAGTAATTTCTGTATCAGTAGAGAGCTTTTTCATTCTTTTTAAAAAATCTTTTAGTTGCATAGTATTTAAATAATTTATTTAATTGATTCTCTATTGGTAGACAATAAGTTGTTTTTAGCCTTTTGCTATTACCAAAAATACTGCACTGAATAACCTGCAATTGTGTTCCTTTCCTGGTATATCTACAAGGATCAGTTGCACAAAGTAGAATTGACAGGTTGGGTGTATGCATTTTAAATATTGATAGTGCCAAATTGCCCTTCCTAGGCATTGTACCATTTTACACTGCCACCAGCAATGTAAGAGCATGCTTGCTTCTCCGTAGTCTTTTGGATGTTTTCAAACTAAGTAACAAATAGTCCTAGGGTAGATTTAATATGCATTTTTTATGAAGTTGAGGATCTTTTCACCAAGTTTAAGAGCTATTTGGTTTTTGAAAGATATATATGTATATTACATATAAAGATAAAGGTATATTATATATATATATATATATATATATATATATATATATATATATAGAGAGAGAGAGAGAGAGAGAGAGAGAGAGAGAGAGAGAGAGAGATTAATTGACCACATCCATTAATCAGCCAAAAGGGCATAGTTATATGACAGATACGTTTGTATCCAATGAGTAATAATATCAGTGTCTAGTAATACCTAGACTTTTGCTAAGGATTTTACATATTTTATCTTATTTATCCAGTACTCAATGAATCTATGAAAAGCTTAGTCCATTGTTCCTTTCCTTGGGTATTTGCCATTTAAAGTATATGTCTCAAAAGCTTGACATGTTTAATATACTGGTGCTTTGGTGAGTAGTTGTTGGTCCTTCTATAAGTGGCTTTTTCAGGAAGACTAATTCAGTAGCAGTGTTGATCACGAGTCTACAAACAGAATCAAACTCTCAGGTTGGTTGAAAAAGCTTCATTGTCCAAGCACCCACCATGTTTAAACCCTGAACAAGTGTTCCTTAAGGCTGTGTTGCATTTAAGTGTCTAACTCCCTGTCCTAATTACTACCTGGATATTGATAGTGCCCTAAGCAGGCTCACAGTATTCACTGGCTTCCTCATGCTTCACAAACCATACAGCTCTGCTCAAATGATTTATCTTTGGTTGAGAACAATCCCTGCTCATTACAATTTGGTCTCTTTAAGAGGCCTGCTGTTTTTGAAGCACTTACCCTCAATTTAATGACCATTTAAAACCACTCCCTATAGATTAATAAGGTATTTCCTGAATTAAAAATTTAAATACCTGTGGAGGGTTTTGTTTTTCTTCCTTTCTTTTCATTCTTTTTCCTGTTTTTTTAAAAAATTAGAAAGTCACATGTGTAGGCCTAGAGAAGAAAATACATATAGAGAAAAGAAAATTACAGAGACTGGCAAGCTCCAACCATTCGGTGAAATGGAAGAGCCAAAGCTAAATACCCCTTGGAAAGTGTGTCTGGGGCCTCTTTTTAGTATCTGGTATAAATTAAAGGGACACCTATTTAATATCTATAGAGTTCCTTTTCTGCCTGCTAGCTAGGGCTTATATTTGCCTTTTCGACTATTAGTGAAGAAAACAAGCTTTCATCCTGTTGGGTAAACTGATCCATTCCCCACTGACTTTGTGGATTAGGAACCTGTAATCATGGCCTGGGATGGCTTATGATCTTAAGATCAAGATCATCATTACAGAATCAATTCAATGATGTCATGCCAGCAGTCATCAGGATGGAGTGATAGAAACTGTGTTAATGCTCAGGCCTGAATAGAGAGATGAGAGTCTGCTGAGGAGATGAAATAAGTATAGAACCCTTGAAAGCTTTCCAGCCTTATTAATACTTCTTGGAAGCTTCTGCCAGAGGCTGAGGTGTGTCTGTGTATCTGATTGGGTGTGGAGAGCTCTCTAGAGCCGAAGGGCAGCCTGTTCTGGTCCCAGGTGTGCAAAACACACCACCTACGTGCTGACCTGAGTATAGGCATGAGGGTGTGAGGTTTATTTTTTACCCCACCTAATTTGGTGAGTTGCATGCTTTTATTCATGCTCCCAGTTGCCTCTTCTGTTTCCATGGAAACTGCTTATTTTGGTAGTTGGTTGGCATAATAGTAACTCTTATAGTCTTTCTCTTTTGGATGCTATACTTTTAGAGGAATCACAATAAATTGGATAGTTTTTTTAAGCAATCGTTTTTTTTCTGTTGTTTTTTTTTTTATGATTTTATCGGGGAATTGGAGAAGGGGAACAGCCAAGTTGTTGTCCTTCAATCTTAGTTGTGGAGGGTGCAGCTAGCTCAGCTCCAAGTCCAGTCGCCATCCAGCCGCCCATTGGCAGCTCGCGTCTGCTCAGCTCAAGGTGCCACGTTCCATCTTAGTTGTGGGTGGGCACAACCCACCGTCCCATGCAGGAGTCAAACCGGAAACCATGCTAAGAGCGCATGCTCGAACCACTGAGCCATCTGGCCGCCTGTAGGCAGTTGTGGGCAGCTCAGCTCAAGGTGCCATGGTCAATCTTAGTTGCGGTGGGCATAGCCCACCATCCCATGGGGGAGTGGGACCGGCAACCTTGTTGTTAGGAGCACATGCTCTCACAAGCTGAGCCATCCTGCCGCCTGTTGGCAGCTCAGCTCGGGCACAGCTCACTGGCCCATGTGGAAATTGCACTGGTGACCCTGTTGCTCAGAGCTCGCGCTCTGAACCAACTGAGCCACTCGGCCAGCCCCTAAGCAGTCGTTTTTGAGCACTTCGTATATAGTTAGCATTGTGCCTTATTGAATCTTCACAACCACCATACAAGGTAGGTATTATTGTGCTGTCGGAAAAGTCATGACATATTTTTTCTGTTTTTCATTGCAAAAATGCATCATGACTTTTCCAACAACCCAATATTATTAGTCCCATTTAGTAGTTATGAATATCACTAATTTTACAAATAAGGAAACTGAGGCTTAGAAAAGCTAATTGATTTATACAAAGTCACAGGTGATGCTGCATGGCAAAGCAGGGATTCCAACTCAGGCTTGTCGG